TGACGAGCATCACATATGCGACGTCCCGCGGCGCGCTGCCGACGATGCCCATGCCCGTGTCCCAGATCGACGCCGCCTTCTCATCGCGCCGCGCATGATCATGCACAGGCTGTCCCGGCTCCACGAACGGCGACTCGTCTGCGCGCGATGCCCCGTGCCGAGGATCACCAGGAGGCCACAGATGCCGTCGCGTTGAGCGGGCAGACCGGAAGACGGACGCGCGGCGTGCGTAGCGGTCGTTTGTTGTCTGGTGTCCTGCACGGGCGCAGCGGGCGAGTCGTAGAGCGGGCGGGCAGGACCAGGAGGGGGAGGCCGTCTAGTGGTGGACTGCATGCAGTGAGCGCGCTGGGGATGGTGTCTCAACGTGACGACGTCAGCGGGGGCGCGGGTGCCTCGAAGGGCTTATGCTACAAGCAGGACAGTGTGAGGGTCAGGGCTTGTGCGCAAGCGCGCGGTGTGCGGTGACGCTTGAGCAGGCGGAGAAATCGCGGGGACACCCGCAGGCAGAGCGTGAGGAACGTTCGACCGGTCGCACGACCACGCACGCACAGTCACGACATGAGCGCGCACGATCGCCATTGTATGTGGATGAAGCAAGGATTTACGTGAGGGACGCACGACGACAAGGCTAAAGGCTACAGGAGGGGCACGTGCGCGGACACGCTGTGCAGGAACGGAGGACGCGGACACATAGGACGCGACGCGCGTGAAGTACAGCAGGAACGCGTCGCATGACGCGGGGAGCGTGCGCAATGGCGTGAGCGGCGGTGTCACTCACCCGTCACCTGCGCCGTATATGTACGTGCGACGTGGGCACGGGCGCGCGGGCGTGCCTCTGCCTCGCTTTCCACTCTGCTTTGCTTTTCTGTGCGACCCTGCTTTCCTCTCACATACTGGACGACGACCATCCGACGACTTTGGCTATTAGGGGCTTTTCATGGCATGGCGGGGCGCAGTGGCTGGACACGGCTGCAGAACCCGCGAGACGAGAACAGACCGCCGCCGTACGACGGACCGAGCGCGAGCACGAGCGCGGCACCACAGGCTAGACGAGGCAGCAGCGCATCACAGACCAGACGAGAAGACGAATCGGTGTTAGATTACGTCGCATCACTGCGCGCAGGCGGTGAGTAGCGGCACATCCATTTCGGGGGGAAGAGCCGCATAGCCGGGGATGCCAGGACCCCTGAGAAACCCCCTCAGAGCTCCGATCCCGCGCAGAACCCTTTTCGGGGGTCATGGTCGATTTCGGGGGAATTCCACATAACCTCGCCTCGTTCCGGTCCATTTCGGGGATATATGGGATCTAACATCGAAAGGTTCACTCACAGTTGCTAAATTCGCATTTGGGGGCGTCCGGCATCCAACCTGACCACTGTTCGGGCTCCATTTCGGGGATTGACATGTAACACTTTCGCTCCAGAGGCCCTGGGGGGACTCTCAGGGGTCCTGCAAGTCCGGGCTATCGCGATAAGGTTGGGTGCTCTCAGCCACCGACGACGGCAAAAAGCAGGCAGAGGCCTGGGCACGATGACTCGGGCGACGCTGTGCTTCTGCTTCTGCGTCTGCTTCTGCTTCCCCTCCGGCGCCTTGTGTGGTCCGTTCAGGCACGTCAAGCTGTCAGACCAGCGCCCTGGGCTTATCACGGCCGCGGCGAATGCACCCACTGCCGCCTTTGGTCTTATATCGCCTGCTTCTTCCCTCGTAACTTCGCCCACTGCTAATCCCCCTTACTCTCTCTTACTCCGAGTCTCTTTCCTGGCTTTGCTCATCTGCTATGGCCGCAGACAACGACAGCATCAAGTCGGGCACTTCCTCCCAGCGTTCCGTCTCCCGCGGACGCGACTTTGTGCGTAGCCCCTGTCGCACTCTAAGCGCTTTTCTCCTCTGACAGACGTCCGTCGCCCGTCACAGCAATCGTCCGGGCGCGGTGGCGTTGGCAACATTCGCAGGACTTCCATCGACCCCAACTGTCCCAAAACACCCAACTTCAATCCCGAGGATGATGTGACTATGAACCGCGGTCGAGAGCCGGCGCAGGCTGGGGACAAGGACAGGGTGAGTGTTTTTGCTCTGCAGTGTTCTTTTTCTCCTTCGACTGTGTCCCCCCTTCGCGGCCATCATCTTTCGAGCTTATCGCGCGCGACCGTGTCTTCACGGATATCTCCGTCGTTACCAGTCGGTCGTTCTCTTTTGCGTCCATCGAGTCGCTCATACCGGACCGTCTACCAACGACGGGGTCCCGCGCGTGAGCCCACGTCGCACCGCCATGGTCGAGGTGCACCCAACGGGTGCACTATCTCGTAAAGCGGTGATCGCGCGCATACAGCCACAGATGTCGAGCAGAATCGTGTCTTGTCACTCATACCGGACCGTCTACCAACAACAGGGTCTTGTGCACGATGTCGCTTTCCCCCCTTCTTCACGTTGCGGTCGACGCACCGCCATGATCGAGGCGCACCCGACGTGTGCACTGCCCTGTGAAGCAGCTACCGCGCGCATACAGTCATAGATGTCGTGCAGAATCGCGTCCCGCTGCGCGAAAGCCATCAGACACCGCATGCCCTGCTAAAGACGTCATATTCGTCGTGTGCCAGTCCCTATCAGGGCCGAGTTCCCCTCGTTGCATCTTCCTAAAAATCCCTTCCTCCGTGCATGATATGCTATCTTCTGTACCTCGGGACGGCGTTTTCGCGCAGACAGTCTCGGACGTCGAGCAGGCCTGCATACAGGCGGTGAGTGCGGGAACTACGCGCGCCACTATCAGGGCGGGAGGGATCGCATGTGATTGCCTGACTCCCATCAGCTAGCGTCTGATGTGGTGCGGCCTGCCATTCAAGGCAGTACGATGTCCCGCGGGCACTTCTGGCGCAAAGCCCGTCTCATAGTCTGGTGGTTATTCTCTTGTCGCGGTGCTCGCGTGCTGGTATCGCGTTCGTGCGGCCTCCTCAGAGGGTTATATTAAGAGGTATCAAGCGCATATATGCGCTCGTCGCTCGGTGCTTTTCTGTTCGCGACGACTTACTGGGCCCGTAATCGGGCGCTCACGAGCTTTTTCGACACCTCTTGATCCTTGAGCGGTGGCTGAACGTGCGGCAATTTGGCAATGTCGACTGACGATCTAGTACGTTGATTCCGCGCTCCGTGTGCAGGCTTGGGCCAAACAGCGGCCTGCGTCGTGCCCTTGCATACCACTGCCCTTGTTGCCTCGCGGTCGCCATGCGCTCTGGCAGTGTCTGGACTGACCCTGTGTGGGTCCTGGCACCGTG